GCTCTGGGAGCCCCTGGGAGACAGAGTTTGTCCCAGGGGAGCAGGCTGAGTCCTGAGCCCTCCTCCCCACTCAGCTCTGGCTCTGTGGGTCCCCCGTCCCCAGCAGCACTGACCACATGCCTGCTCGGCAGAGCACACTCCCATAACACCCGCTGTGCCTCCTGCCAGGCTCCTATTCCCAGGGCTCCCTGACCAAGCTGCAGCCCTACCCCAGGGACAGCAAAGAGGAGAATGGTCCAGGATCAGCACCAGGTAATAGGGTGCAGGAAGGAGTGGCGCTCTCCTCCCCGCAGGCATGTGAAGAACAGCGGTGGCACTGAGTGTCACCATCGGAGGTGGGGAGGACGCAGCGGGGAGTCTCCTGTGCTGCCACCAACACCAGTGTCTGCGCCCTATGTCCCTGCGCATCCTCCCATCCTCTGCTCTGCCAGTGTCTCTTCTCAGTGTCATCAGCTCCCCTCTCCTTTCAGATGTCCCTTTTCTGCCCGGGGGTGACCCAGCAGATGGCTATGATGATGCCAGGGAGGTTTCTGAGCCTGGGGAGGATCCTTCCCCTGGGCAGGGAGACTGGGAAATGCCCAGGGCACCAGAGGAGGCATCAGGAGCCAGGGATTCCCCCGGAGGTGAGACGGAAAGATGGTGCTTCTGGTTTATGAAGTGCCATCCGTGGTGCCTGGTGCCCATGAATCACTGCTGTTCTGAGAGCCCAACCTCCTGGGGTGGGGGAACGTGCCCCAGGAATTTTCCTTGGGGGCCTGGGGATGAGACAGGGAGCTGACCATGTCAGGAGTGGTGAGGGAAAGGGAGGACGGTGATGTACAGAGCAGGAGGGGCACTGCGTGGGCTGAATGTGCCATGGCCTGCCTTGCTGCTTGCAGGGGCAAACCTGCACTCCCAGAGAAGTGCTGGGGCCCCTGGGGCTGAGGGAGATGCCTGGTGTCTGTCCCCAGACCGACGTGTGTGGGTGTCCTCTGGACCACCCCCCGGAGGACACAAAGGCGTGGACACTGGAGCTCAGCGTCCACCAGTCCCTGAGCCCCGGGCCAGGACAGCCCAGTCCTGCTGTGCAGTTGGGGGCAGCCGGGTGGGAAGAGAGGGCTGCCCAGCTGGGAGAGCCCTGAGCACCAGGGAACCCTCTCCCTTCTCCCATGGGCAAGCATCTGGGCATTTCCTCCATTTTGATTCCCCTGGATTTGCATCATGCTGCCATCTTTGTTCTTATTAAAAGCTTTTGGAGGTTTGAGCTGGAGCTGGTGTTTACCTGCCCAGGTGTCAGGGTGTCTCCTTGAGGATGATGGGGAGGAGCAGAGAATACAGCCATGGTAGTGGGGAAGGGACGCGTCTTGGGGACAACAGTGTTGGGGGCAGATTGTGGAGGTGTGAGAGATCATGGTCTCCGG